CTGTTGTGAGTGGTGGGGGTACTTCAAGTCTCGTATTCAAGTTTTAGCAAGCCTGCATCTCGACAAACCTTGAAGTAGGGGGGATTTGTAGACACTGAAATTTTAAAGGATCAAGCTAAATCCTAAATTCAAGATACTACAAGACTCTTGAAATCCTAGGAGTCTATCAGATTTTCTTGGAGGTTACTCTACCTAAACCCTAACGCACACCTATATAAACGGATACATATTCCCTTGAAGATGCGTCTCAAAAATCCCATAAATTCTCAGGATATTCACAAAGGGATCAAGGCATAAAATAATGTCGTGATCAATAGATGTTCTTATTGATAATCAAATACTTCAAGAAGAATATCCATACAATGATCGACTTTCAAGGAGATCAAGTAATCCAGAGAGGTCTGTATTATCCTACGTTCGAGAATACGTTGATCCATCCCTCGAATTACAGAGAATAATCCGGAGGAAGAATCAAGGGATAAACAGAGTTGTAACCCNCAGATTTTCTTGGAGGTTGCTCTACCTAAACCCTAACGCACACCTATATAAACAGATACATATTCCCTTGAAGGTGCGTCTCAAAAATCCCATAAATTCTCAGGATATTCACAAAGGGATCAAGGCATAAAATAATGTCGTGATCAATAGATGTTCTTATTGATAATCAAATACTTCAAGAAGAATATCCATACAATGATCGACTTTCAAGGAGATCAAGTAATCCAGAGAGGTCTGTATTATCCTACGTTCGAGAATACGTTGATCCATCCCTCGAATCACAGAGAATAATCCGGAGGAAGAATCAAGGGATAAATAGAGTTGTAACCCGTAATGTTTTTAAAATCACTTTACTCTTTTGTGATTAAAGTTTATTTTTCGTATGTTAAAAATTTATTGCAAACAAATTGGCACGCCCAGTGGGACCAGTTCTGGCCTTCATCTCTTCCTCCTGCAAATTGAAAACTACAAGTTTTAAGATTATCTGTTGTGAGTGGTGCGGTACTTCAAGTCTCGTATTCAAATTTCAGCAAGCCTGCACCTCGACAAACCTTGAAGTATGGGGGATTTGTAGACACTGAAATTTTAAAGGATCAAGCTAAATCCTAAATTCAAGATACTACAAGACTCTTGAAATCCTAGGAGTCTATCAAATTTTCTTGGAGGTTGCTCTACCTAAACCCTAACGCACACCTATATAAACGGATACATATTCCCTTGAAGATGCGTCTCAAAAATCCCATAAATTCTCAGGATATTCACAAAGGGATCAAGGCATAAAATAATGTCGTGATTAATAGATGTTCTTATTGATAATCAAATACTTCAAAAAAAATATCCATACAATGATCGACTTTCATGGAGATCAAGTAATCTAGAGAGGTTTGTATTATCCTACGTTCGAGAATACGTTGATCCATCCCTCGAATCACGGAGAATAATTCGGAGGAAGAATCAAGGGATAAACAGAGTTGTAACCCGCAATGTTTTTAAAATCACTTTACTCTTTTGTGATTGTAGTTTGTTTTTCGTATGTTGAAAATTTATTGCAAACAGGGCTATCAAAAATAGTCGTTGGCTATTTAGAAAATAGTCATTTAACCCCCCNGATTGCAAATATTTGGCCGTTGGCCTTTTAAAAAATAGTCGTTGGCTATTTATATAATAGCCATTTAATCCACCCCCCCAACTTTATTTTAACCCTAAACTTTTTATAATTACACTTTTCCCTATTTTTAACTATAAATACTTCCTCATTCTTTTATTTTTTTCTTACAAAATTAATATCAATCTATCACAATCTCTCTCTAATTTTCTCCTATACTTGCTACTATTGCTTATTTTATTCCAAAAAATAGTTCAAAAATATTGAGATTGTTACCATTTGTGAAAAAATTGTGAAGTTGGTGAATTGAAGTATTCAAGTCTTCAACGATAATCAATTTTCAACAAGTTGTTCGTCAATTCGGTAAACTCGTTCCAACTCTTAAGTATTAATATTATAGTTTTTGTTTGTTTTATTTATTTTCTATTACTTGATTAATTAAGATGGCTTCCTTAAAAAATTATTTTAAGGGAAAATCCAAGAGTGGCGAATCTAGTGGTCATGTTGTTCCTCCTCCCATGCCCCCGGCTCCCCGAACCAAACCGCATATCCGTCCTACACCTGCTATTCTTGATAGCGATAATAGTTTATTACAATTTACCGAGAGTCAATTTTGCCATAATATAGCCCGGTGAACAATTAGACCATGAATTAATGAATGCTATTTATTCTAATAATCATAATACTATTGATGAAAATGATGATGAGGAAGTTGATCTTGATGAAACTCAACCGGATGATGATACACCCATTAGTCCTGCTCCTGATGTTAACCCAACTAGCGATAACCCTGCTAATCCAAATAATGCCCCATCTGATACTCTTGTTACTGCCCATAGTTTTTCTAAAAGAACTGCGGGAGTAACATCACTTAGTGCTTGGGCGGGGTTTAGGGGTTCTCAAGGTTCTAGTAGTAGTATTTTTTTTACAACTAAATGAGTTTGAAGTTTATTTGTCGCAGGGAATTGAGGAAGTAAATCCCGATAGCTCCTTTAATCTTTTGCAATGGTTGAAGGACAAAGAAAAATACTTTCCGGTTCTTTCAAGGATGACTCGAGACATTTTAACTATTCAAGCTTCAATAATGGCATCAGAGAGCGCTTTCAGTCAAACAAGACTTCAACTCGGTGATTATAGAGCGTCTATGAGGGAGAGCTTGGAAAAATCAATACTTTTCACAGATTGGATCCGTTCGGAAAGAAAAAACTTTGGACTTGCTAAATCACAACTAGAGAAAGACGAAGCTTATGAAGAAATGCTAGCTGAACTTGCGGAGGATGCTGCTTCGCCCAACAATGGAAGCAACGATGACCAAGCTACTTTTCCGCCACCACCAACGGAAATTTCTCCGGACCTTGAAAGATTTATGAAGTTTGTAAGAGATACCATGTAACTTGTATGAACAAAAATTAGTATGTATTATGTAACTTGTATTTTGGCACATCTTGATTAGTTTCTTTTTCTTCTCAATGGTGGTATTAGCACCTTGTTGTGTTCATTCCATAGGGGGGGAGGAAGACTAAGAAAGATATTGTCATATTTTTTTAATGCTATAATAAAATTACAAGGCATTGCTTTGAATATCTCTTTACAATATTTTTGTCTTTAAATTTAAATTAAAAAATTTAGGTCACAATTCTATAATTGGGACCGGAACCATTTGGACCGGCCCACTTGACCCGTTTAGGGACCGGCCCACATGCCAGCCTGGCCCTTATTGTTACTAAAGTGGCGCACAACCGTTAGTTGGATTTGATTAGCATGGCTACGACGCCCCCATGAGACCAACTATTCATGGAGGGATATCCAGACCATTTCGTAATGTTTAGGAGCAAATTTGACTAATTTTTTTACTTTCATTCACTATCTTTCATCTTCCAAAAAGCCACCTCACACAGTCACCTTCTTAGCGAAAAATCCTTCTCCACCGGAAAATCAAACAAAGCCTAGCAAAGAAGTTGAGGAGGCAACAAACCTCCCATCGTCTCTCTTTTCTCGCTCCACCACCAGTATACAACAAAAGGCCTTGGTCCTTCACACTCATTACATGGCAACACCATAACCTCAAATCATACACCACCAGTAGGCCTCTATTGGTTCCTCACAGAAAGAAAAAAAAAACTCACCAGAAAACTACATCTGAACCGCCACCTATATAATGTTGTCCCAATCATTAATAGTACTACATTAGTACTGTCATGGGCGGCTTTCCAGCCGTGCCCCATGACCCCTTGGACGCGCCCCATGGCGTTCTAGCAAGCCTCCCCCAACGCCTAGCGCCATGGACGGTCCCCTGGTCTTGGCCGCGCCAAGCGGCAAGCGTGCATGTGCCTGTGTTACCCCATCGATAGCCCTCGCCAGCGCCTAGCCGTAGGCATATGCCAACAGTGCCGCGCGTGCAGACTCTGATGCTAAAGACAAGGTTGCTGCCAACGGACCTGCTTCTACCTTGTAGGAATCTAAGTCCTTTTTATTGTAAATATAGAATAGTTTTACTTCTCGTATTTCCATTATGTCTCTCTAGCTTAGTTATGTCAAGTCCTCTAACTTTGATTTATTTTTTTTAAGCATTATTAGGGGGATCAAGTAATCAAACTTTCAAGCAAGCAAACAATCATCTGTATCGGCGTTCCCCCGGACACCATGTTGCCTTTCTGTAATAGCTTTCATTAATGCAATCAAGCTTTCTTTCATTTTCATTCTCTTTTCTGTTCTCTCAATTGCTCTTGACATTGGGTTTCCAGTCTCGTCTAGCTTACGGAGGGGACCCTAGTTGGCGGATAGTAATCGCACGGACACCGGTTGCTTAGCCTTATGTCACTTTTCCAAGAAATCTCAGGAAGGCCTCATATGACACAGTTGAACCTACAGCAACAGAAAGAACTGGAGAAGCTGTAAACTTCAGTAGCTGGAATATATTTCTTAGCAATTCACTAGTTAACTTCCGAAAGTTTGACCAGTGAGAGCCACAACTTACCAGGTAGTAGAGTGGTCGGTGATGGTTAAATAAGACTTGTGCAAAACAAGCAGAATAAAAAAAAAAAGAAGCAAGAACTGATCTTTGGTCGATCAACTGAATGAATTTTCGCTGCTGTGAACTGACTTCCACAAAGCACCTTTGGGCAACAGCTACTATTGAGATCCAATTTCGAGATCAATTCAACAATAAACTCTTTAAGAATGTTCTTATCCCTCTCATTTCTCGACACGATACAAAAGACTGACTTTTGAGAGTCACTTAACCACTGACCTTTGCTCTCGAAAAAATCCTATGTGGTTAAGCCGATTAAAGACAGAGAGATAAGGTAAGATCGTTTGCTCATGGATATATTGTGCCAAAAGATGTAGGCGATTTTCAGTAGTATGGAAAATTTTGTTTTCATCAAAAACGAAGAGGTAACAGAATCAGTGACAAGAATATCAAGTATCAACATAGAAGTCTCTCATACATTTAGTTATGTACATTTTGCTAAATAGGTACTAAAAATGTGCACAAACAAAAAATAGGACAGGTGAAGAATTCTAGATAAGCTATACATAGGTTACAGCTCATTTACAGTTTTGATATATTTCACATCAGCTATGATATGACGACAACCTGAGGGCTCTTCTTCAAGGCACAAGGAAAGTTTACACCTCCGGAATATCGTCTTTAGTTGACATCCCGGAGAAACTGCGGATTTTCGGTAGTTCAGGAGATAGTTCTGTGCATCTAGCCGTACAGTCTTATGCGAGTTGTAATGGGCTCTCGGCATAAAGGACACGTTGTTATTGTGACACCACACTCCTTGCATGTCTGATTCAGAAAACGCAAGGCAAAAAATTTGATAGCCATTTCTCGGTCATGAGTAAGAGCTGTAGGTAATCTAACATTCAAATGCTAATAGCAAAAATTAGACGATACGTACTAGGAGAATCCAGAACATGAGAATCAGTGGCAGCATGAGTACTAGGACAATTGAAAGCACTAAACATGGGCCCTTTCATCGGTCATGATGAAGTAGCCTTACTAAGTGACCTCGAAAGAGCTAAACATTATGATCATTCAAATAGGGCACACATTGAATCTCCTAAGTCACAGGTTAGATGTGCTTATTGTCCAAGCTTTAAAGAATGCTTTGGAGTGAATAAGTTCATTAGGATAACCGTAGTCGTGCAGTGAACAGTAAATAGAGATATCTTAATTTCATACAAGTATCTTAATTTCTATTATTCTGGCAGGATATGCATGATTAAGTAGGAAATGTAGGTGAATGGTAATTCACTATGTAAATGTCAGAATGCCAGTATTCAAGCTTGTTTTCCTTTTGAATAACGTTTGCAAGGAATTCCAGAAAATGATATCCTCACTATTTAGTGACACTCTCAAATGATTTCTTTTAAAGGATTGGATAGGGAAACCAAAACAAATTGCAAACTAAACGTGTCATCTCTGACCACTAACTTCCACCATTTTGTTTACCTTCAAAGATGAGATCCTTATTGTCATCATTCTTTATGGAAAATGAATTGATCTAAGCAGCATAATGTTAATGCAATTCAAGAAGACGTGGCCATTTAGACATTCTCAAATCGTATACTCCAGTTGACTATAGGGTCAAACGGCACATGTAAACATGAAAATATTATGCCTTGGATAGATTTTAAGGATTGAATTCAACACTGATAGTAGCTAAGTGTCACTTCTATACTCACTTACCAGATGACCACATCCAAAAGCCATGTCCTTTGGGTTTGTCAAGCAAATGGGACAATCCTTAAGGAAAATGGAAAAGATTATTCAGAAAAATGAACAGAACGAAAGAAATAGACTGGTGTGATCAATGAGTTTACAACAAGAGCAAGAACTATACAATAAACACTTACTCTTTCTGCAGCTCCAGAGTCAGCAGGTTCATAGCTTGTCGCATGTGGCAATGATTTGACTGCACTGTCATGATCAATTACTTCACGAGGAGGAGGAAGTGGCCTTGTCCGAGGGCCTCTTTTGCTTCTAAGGAACACATTTTGAAGAGGTTAGGCTTCATGTAGATGCTTTCTACTTGCAAGAAGAATATACACAAATAGATGCTACTCACTCTCTGAATTGAAGCCTTTGTGTGGCTCGGTACTGAATCGGAATTTCCATGAGTGCGGCAAGAGCAAAGGCTGTTTCCTTCTTTTCCATCGCTGAACGCTCAGACATGATTTTTGTAAAATTGACGAACTGCAAGTGGATACACAAGTAATTAGGAAAACTGAAGTTGATTAGCATTGGAATTTTCAGCGCAAGAAGAAGAAATAATCTCCTATAGGAACCCCACATATGGTAGGACTGTGCAAGGAAATTTCCTTCCAGAAAGCTAACCTAAGTATCTAACAAGGGGGAATTATACAAAACCCAGCAAAATTCAGTCCATTTTGTAGCATGAGCTACTAGCCTCATGCTTTCCTTCTGTTGAATCTGCTCCTGAATCCCCCGATATTCCAAAAGCTCATCAGCTGCTTTACCCTATTTGGCATGACCCAACATGTGCCAAACATGTTACGTGTCTCCTACCACAACTTCAGAGCAAGATTTCAATGCAAAAGACGAGGATGAGATTTCTTTGAATTCCCTTACATGTAAAGAACCATATCACAAGGATCTTTTTTCTCTTTCTATAAATTTCAGTAGCAAGAATGATGCCCATGATTGTCCAAACAAATACAAAACTGACTTCCCTAGGAAGTAGGAACTATTGAGTTCACAATTTGACGATAGCTTACATATTAAAAGTGACGTACAAAAGGATTTAAAAGAGAAAATGGACACAGCATTACCCTGCCAGCCCCAATGCAACACAAATCCTTGTTGTTTTCAATTGAAATTTCTCCACAAATCCTTGTCTTTCTCTTGAAAATTGAAGGAATGAAGCAAATTTATAGACAACTTCCCCCATCTCCTGATAGTCATGCAAGTTTCTCATAACTTTGCAATCCAAAACCATGGTTCCTCTCTCTGTTCGTAAATTCAGCTACCATTAAAGTTTTATTCAAAAGAAAAGTAGCATATATCTACTGAAATCTGCTTCAAAACATCCACTCCACACCAATGTTTATCACAGAGAGAAAATCTTCTGCTATCACCAACCACTCAAATCATCTCCTTTTCTAAATCATTTAGTAGCTTCATGATGTCCTTCCATTAGGCCGTGCCACTTGTTCACTATCCCCTTTTTCTATACCATATATCTCGCCTATCACACAGCTACTCCGTGTTACCAACTTATTGTCTTTTGCGAAGGCTTTCCCTTTCTAGCATCTTCACATTCTCACCCTTATGGAAAAGAAGCTTGTTACTATGTTCTATCTTTTCTAACAGATTATAATTCCAGACAGAAAATTGGTTTACAACTAAGAGCAGTTGGAGGAGTGAGGGTGGGGAGTAGAGAGTATGAGCACGCCTAGAAGTTGTAAGCAAAATCATTCACAAAAGCATGGTAACCGGCAGCATTTGAAGAAATAGAGCAAAAAATCCCTAAAATTTGCAGTAGCTTTTATTGGGCACAGGTGTCACAAACTGTTTAGAGAAGGTTCCCGCAAATCCCCTAACTTGAAATCAGTTCCAATTCATCCCTCAGATTCGACAATAAATCCCTTTTGTGGTATCTGTTTAGAATACGTGAACCAGCTAGCAATCACAGGCTGATAACCTCCAACTGGAAAAGGTACAGTCTCTGTATAAATTTTTTCTCCCCAGATATGCTAGACAGACTGGGATCAGGTTAGTTCAACATTTTTTTCCGAGAAGAGTGAATGAAGACCCCCACGGAGCAGTAAGGAGATCGATGTCAATTATTTCCTAGTCGATGTCAACCACAAGGATAACCAGCAACCAAGCTTGTCAAAAAGAAAAGGAGAGGTATTATAACATGGTAAGACAATGACTTATCTTAGATCTCTAAGTGCCAAAAGGAAAAAAGGACCAAAGGTAAGCCTCATAACAAAAAAAAACATAGCTGTTTAATCCAGATGAAATAACAAAAATATCTAGAACAGATGAAGACATGCGAAAGAGATTGAAGGCAAAGCACAAGAATGTCTTTCAGTCATGCCTGGAAGTTATCAAATGCCCGTTGGGAAATGTTATCATCAAACCGTTGCATTTCATCCCACGGGCCATCTCCAACACCGACCAGAATAATTGAAAGAGGATATTCACTGCATGTAAAAATCTCAAGTCAGGCAGGAGAATGGCACTATAAATCAACTTCCCAGAAAAGGTCACCCGTTTACCTAGCAGCAACAATAGAATTTACAGTAGCCTGTTCTTGAGGGCTAAGGCTTCCAGGTGGAGTGTCAGTTCTCCTTGTTACCTGTATTTTTTTTTTTTAATTTAAATTTGGAATAACTAGGGGTGAACCAAGGAAGAAGTCAAAGGAATCAAATTATTTCCAAGGAGATATGAACCTGTCCATCTGCAATAATGACAAGGACATGGTACTGCCCATTATTTGCTTCCACTATATCTATTGCGGCGTTGACTATTGGGGCAAATGAAGTTGGACCTACATGTTTCACAGATGAGTTAGGATAATCATAAATCCATATATAGCTTTCAAACAGGAGCATCTCATCTCTGACTATTCATTTTCTAGTTATTACTCCTTTAACAGTAACTTTCCTGGCGTACTCGACCCTATTTTGCAAACTCAAAATTCACCACCTCATATTTGAAGATAATAAGAATGTAGGAAATAAGAGCTAATTTAGCATTTGAGATAAAAAGAGTTAATATAGTATTAAGAATATATGTACATTGGAAAAGATAAGATCATAATCATCAGTTGTTGCTCGTGTACATATAAGATTTGGTTAATGTGCATAAAATAGCCGAGTGCCAAAAACACTAAGCAAATTAAAATTAAAAAAAGTTAGTTCCTCCATTTTTTCCACTCAGATTTTCAACAGTATTTCAACAATGTAAAGAGATACACTAACTATTAATCAGGGGTTCACTAAAACTATCATAACACAGTTTAAACTTTGTCCTTGAAGACACGCATAAGATGGATGAGATGTCCTTATAATAAGATTATGGAACACCCCCCTAATAGTTTAAGATTCAGAAATGCAGCCAAGTATATCAAATACTGTATACCACATAGATTACCGCTATCTGGCCACTGAATAAAGGAAATTCTGAAAGCAGTATTCAGCTCAAACCTGATAATTTCAGATAAGGAACAGTTTCCTTATATCTTGCAAGAGCTTCCTCAAATCCATGGCAAGGGCGATGATCAGGGTAAAAGCTAAACACGTGCTGATCGTGTGTGGTTGCTGAAATTTACAGAGACAACAACCCATGGTCAACACTATTCGAAACCATCTTGATTGTCTGTGAACAAAATAAGGATCAGAAACAAAAACTAACCATCACCAAATCCAAAACAAGGTATCAAGTTGTCCTCATCAAAAGGAGACAAAGTTCGCCCAATTATAGAGATGGCTTGCTCGTATGGGTTAGCTGTGTGACCAACTGAGTGAAGGCTTCTTCTGTTGAATGAATGCTTTCCTACAACCTTAAATTTTCAACCATCGCCTCCACAACTAGAGACAAACACTAAGACTAATAGTATAGTGGAATGAAGTAGTTCACCTGTCCACTCATTGCTTTTGGTGAAATCAATGCCAAGAATCAAGTTTGACGATTCAAGGCCTGCTTCTCGCAACGCGGTAATAACCTATGCATAAGAGTATCACTCTTTCTGTGATTTATATATTACATTGCTCAAAAGACCAGCTACTGCAGTTCATTAGCAAAGTAAGCAGTAAAAATAGAAACTCCACATGAACTGATTCATTGTTGACTTTTTGCCTAATATAAGTTGACCTGTCAATTCTAAGTTTCTAACTAGAGAAAATGCTCAAACAATGAAACCAATGCTTTCGATGATCATCTTTCAGAATACTAGTTGATCTGTCAATCCTAAGTTAAGGAAAAAAATACAAACTTGCAATTTTTTGTTCATTGAATCTGATCTCACCATGTTGTCCACCATGAGGTGTTCTGTGGAACTCTATAAAACTCTGCAAAGAATGATCAAGTAATTAAGAAATTAACCTCATCCAAAGAGTTATAGTTATCAGCTATGTAAGAGGCTTGCTGGTTTCTTTGAAAGTTCGCTCTATCTGAACCTCCGGCATGTGATGTAACTTGAGCTCGATAATTAGAATCCGTGGAGCTTTCTGCATGAGTAATAGGTTGATATTGAGGATTGGAGCCATTTTCATTTCTTACATGTTCTGGGCTGTGGTGATAATAATCACTGTGAGCGTCATTTAAGGCAGACTCTTGATTCCCCATTATGTATGAATATATTCAACGATATTAAGAGCTCTGCAAAGACACTATGATGAGCTATATTATATACCAGTGATTTGAATTGTATTCACAACTCCATACTAATTAGAAAAGCGGATGTATTTCTAGAGCCCATGAAACTATAAGTGTGAAATCAAAAACTCGCTCCATGTACATGAAACTCATTTTTAGGATTGATATTGATAATAATAAACAGGTTTTTGGAGCTTTGGGTAATAACATAACAGCAACATGCTTCTAAAGAAATAGAAGTTCCAAGCACATAGCATTGTGCCTTAACCCAAACTTCTGATCGAGTTCAATAATTCCTTTTGAACATCCCCTTACAGCAGACACCATTAAGCATAGTGAACAAACTCTAGCACTCTATCATAGAGCTAATAGCTCGTCGTGAATACCTCCCACTGGGGTTTGCTATGCCAAAAGCGAGAGAAAAATCATTCCTTTAGCAACACATAAAAATATTCCTCTTAGAGTGGTTCATAAATGTTGGAATCTTGGGTTACTAATTGGCACGCCTCACACGTAGAGTCTAAGAAATTCGTGCATTGATGGATGGTGAGGCTGGAATTCACCAACCCACTTCATAAAAGTAAGTTTGTACACACACACACACACACACGCATATATATATATATATATATATATATATATATATAGAGAGAGAGAGAGAGAGAGAGAGAGAGAGAGAGAGAGATGCTGAATTCGTAATTGATGTTTACATATTCCTCCAGATGCAATAAAGTTACTACTGACCAGATGCAAATAACCATTAAAAGGACCTGTTTTCTATTATTTGACTTCCCATGTACCTAAAGAAACACCAAAGCAGCCTTGTACCAAATTTCTGATCTCAAAAAAAGCAAACAAAGACCGGACAATTCCGGCATTAGATATTCTCATGCTTAAATTGTTCAAGGAAAACTTAACAAAACCTAGCAAC